TATGTGGCAGTGTTCCCTTTCATTGGACTGGGGAAAGTGTTCTTTATGGAGAAATTTGGATTTTCTTCCCAGGCAGCAAGTGCTATTAACAGTATTGTGTATGTCATATCAGCTCCCACGTCCCCAATATTTGGGCTCATGGTAGATAAAACAGGAAAGAACATCATCTGGGTCCTGTGTGCAGTGGTGACCATCCTTGCTTCCCACATGCTGCTGGCCTTCATGCTGTGGAACCCTTAGATCGCTATGAGTCTCCTGGGACATCAACTGGGAACTGCATATGGCTTCATGCAGTCCATTCAGAATCTTGGGCTGGCGATCATTTCCATCCTTGCTGGCATGATATTGAATACTCGGGGATATTTGTTTTTAGAAGTTTTCTTCATTGCCTGCGTGTCCTTGTCACTTTTAGCTGTGGTCTTACTCTATTTGGTGAACCATGCCCAAGAAATTATTCTGCAAGACAAAGGGAAGAAATGAAATTTTCTCATGCTGAATGAGAAGTTTAAATAGTCAGTGGGCTGCACACATCATTGATCTGAAAACCTCCATTAGAAAATTATATAGAGTTTAGTCAATAGAAAAAATAATGGTCTGGAAAGTTATATTTATATTTCAAGTAAACCTATTTCTAAGTATATTTGTGAGATTATTTTACTCTCTGTCTTTTATGTGTTGCTGAAGAATTTCACTTCAGAATAGCCTAGTCAACAGTGAAGTTTTGGAAATTGCTCTGGAACTTGCAAGTGAATTTCATTAAGGACAGTAAATAATGGAGATCATTGGATTTATACTGAGATCATTTTCACAAAGTATATCTTAGAGATATGGCCTTTTCTTTATCTTAAAGCAAAATATATTTTTTAAAGCTTTTGAGGGTTTAGAAGGGATGTTTTATTATAAACTACAGCACTTGAATAGTCATTACCTTTTGTAATAGGGACTGTTTGAAAGATACTCGATGAAGTCTCTTCATTTTCACAAATAGATTGTGTTTTGCTCGTTTTACTTATGGGACAGGTTGCTGAGCGGTGACCCTTTTGAGCTTCTCCTTCTCTCTCTCTGTTACTGAGCAACCTTATTACTTAGGGATATAACTTTGTGGATGAACTTTCTGTTCAATTTTTTAATATAGTCTCATTAATTACTGAAAGTGTCATTTAAATGATGGTAATTCCATTTCTACATGGATAAATAAAAATATTGTATCGGGTCTAGTAATAATTAATGTCGTTTTTAAACATTCGTTTAAAATCTTGCTTGGCGTTGACTTGTATTGACATAACCTTCAAACACGTGGTATCTACAGAATGTGTGAAGTGCAATTAACAAGTTTTTCTTGAAAAAGTTTGTGTTTGGTTTGGTTTTTGTTGCAAAACTAGGGCTAAGAAGATGGCGGATGAAGAGCATATTTGGCACTGCATGCTTTACGAGTTCCAATTAGGAAGAAAAGCAAGTGAGCCTGCAAAAAACATCTGTAGTGCTCTTGGTCAAGATGCAGTTAGCGCCAGAAAATGCCAGCGTTGGTTTGAGAAATTTCGTGAGGGAAATTTTTCGTTAGATGACAAGAGTGGTCGAGGCCGTGTGTCCAATTTTGATCAAGAAGCTCTTCAAGCTCTTTTGGTGCAAAATCCTCAAATTACCCAACAAGAGCTTGCGACAACTTTAAATTGTTCACAAAAAACAATTTCCAATCAATTGCGTGCAAAAAGTCCAAAAGTTTGGAAAATGGGTTCCTCATGAGTTGACCGACAACAACCATAATCAAAGAGTCACAATTTGCAGTTCGCTCCTCTCTCGTCAAAACCGTTTGCCGTTTTTAGAGCAAATTGTTACCGGAGATGAAGAATGGGTGCTGTATGTTAATTTGAAAAGGCGGCCTCAATGGTTGGACAAAAATGAGGCTCCGCAGCCCACGCCAAAACCTGACTTGCATGCGAAAAAAGTGATGTTGTGTGTTTGGTGGAATTTTAAAGGAATTCTTCATTATGAACTTTTACCATCTAACCAAACCATTACAAGTGCAGTGTATAGTGCCCAATTGGAAAGGTTAGCCCAAGCTTTAAGAGAAAAAGAACCCGCGCTGATTAATGGGAAGGGCGTAATTCTTCACCACGATAACGCACCACCGCATACTGCAAGAATCACTGCTGAAAAACTGCGCCAGTTGGAATGGGAAGTTCTCCCTCAACCTGCATATTCTCCTGATATTGCCCCTTCCGATTACCATTTGTTTTGTTCTTTGCAAAACTTTCTTCTTGGAAAAAAATTTAATAATGAAGAATGCCTCAAAAATGCATTGACCGAATTTTTTGCATCAAAATCACAAGAATTTTACAACAGAGGGATTAAAATGCTTCCTGAGCGTTGGGCACAAGTAGTAGAAAACAACAGCAACTATATTGTTGATTAAATTTTGTTGTATTGTTTAAATAAATTCGATTTTAAAAAAGTATTAGAAAACGACATTAATTATTACTAGACCTAATAGAAGGAATCTACATGATGTCTTCTAACTTTTGAGTTAAAAAAAAATCTTAAACCACTGATTTTAACTCATGTATGTGGAAGATTATAAGAAAATCTGTGTTAGAATAAAGAAAATTACCTAATTATTCGTTGAAATATTATGGAGATTAGCTTTTTCTCAAGTGTAGGACCTTAAAGTGTCATTTATGTTTTTCACATTAAATAAAATGTGGATAGGAAATGTTTCTGACAGATTTAAATACTTTGTAGTTGACTTATTAGTCCTAGCATATTAAAGTCAAGAACTTTTTCATGTGTTTTGGTATCTATGGGCACACAGTTAAGACAACAACTACTAAACTAATTAATTTAGCTGATTACATTGTTTAAAGTACATGGCATAATATTGTATGCCTAAAGTTTCTGGAACAGATTGAAAGGGCATTCCTTTTCAGGATAAGTTTACTTCCATCCATGTTTCTGATTTACAGTGTATTGTGCTATTATTCAGTTGTTGGTTCTGTGGGCTTGACTGCCCCTTTGCTTGATCTAGCCCCTGGAAGTGAATGCTGGCCTCCCAGTTAGGGAGGGTGCAGGAGGCCAGCTGCTTCCGCTGCCAGGGGGCTGTGGTCTGGCCCTCCCTCATCTTCCCACTGCCTCTGTGCCCTGTGTCCCGTGCTGCTTACATTGTTTTCTATTGAATCTGATTCCGTCCCTTCTCGGGGGCTTTGCCCACGCTCCCTTTGCTTAGAATATTTTGTCCAGGATTCTCTATGACCTGGTTTCACCTGATTTCCAACCATCTTAGCCTCAGCTCAGAACTTATGGGAACTAGTTATTCCTATGGGAACTAATCCCTGTGGTCTTGGAAAAATCCTTTATTTTTGCTTCTTAATTTACCTGAGCCTATAAGGAATTTGTGATGGTGTGGGTTTCTGTCTCCTTCCTTTAGATTGTAAGCTCCTTGAGGGCAAGAACTGTGTCTATTGATGTTAATGATTGCATCGATAGTGTCCAGCACCATATAAATATTTTTTTTTGAATTATGCATTAAAAAAAAAGAATGAAAGGAGCCAGCTGGCGTGGCTCAGGGGCAGGTCAGGGCATGTGCCCCAGTTGCAGTCTTGACCCCACTTAGGGCTGTGCAGCAAGCAGCCAATCATTGATGTTTCTATGTCTCTCTCCCTCTCTTTCTCTCTTGGAAAAAAATGAGAGGAGAGAAATTGAAGAGTGAGTGTGAATGGCTTTTCCAAGAAATTTTACTGTTGTAGCTGATGAGGGAGAGGAGAATCACTAAGAAAGTTTGAGAACAGAAGCCATCTCAGTTACCTTAATGAGCCTCAAGATAGTATTCTGATCTGATTCTTGCTAATTCTTCTGCTCTCATTTTCCATAATGGTAGTCCCTTAATTTAGCCACACCCAACTTAGGCACAGGTCCCCAAACCATGGCTCCACTCATCTGCTCACTGGGCCTGAGATGTGCATCCTGGCCAATCCTGTTTCTCAAACCTGGTTAAATCCTATTTCTTCACATCACGTTTCCCTAGAAGCATTTCAGAACCTTCCCAGGCAAGGTCTCATTTTATTCCCCTGCTTCTATAATATTCTGTGAGTATCTCTGGCGCCTTCAACACATAGTCGTAGAATGATTTGGTAAAGGGGCAGTAGGTCTGATTGGTGCACAGTAATAAATAGGACAGTAAAAGGATACAAAGGAGGGAAAAGCCTTGCATTTTGTAGAATGAAACCCATGTGAAAAGAAAGCAAATTACCTACAATATCAGATATACAAACATCTTGAAAATTACAGGTTATAAAACTAAATGTCCGTCTTGTCACTGGTTGCCAATATTTTGATGAATAGGTCATTCCTAGCCTATCTTTGTTCAAAGGACTTGCATATATTATGCAAACAAGTAGAACTACCTAAAGATTGCCCGTGAGGCGCCCGGCAGCTGATACACTCCCCAGGACCCTTCGATTGGCCTATCTACCCATCTCATTTGCATTACTTTACTTAATAAATGAAGGCCCCGCCCCTCTGATTCTTCACGTCTCGCGAAAGGATGCGGGAGTTGAAACTCTTCCCTGAGTTACGCATGCTCCGCCCTCAGCATCTGATCCCTTCCGCCCGTCCTCCCGCTCCTCTCTGCTGAAAGCGGAGGGGCCCCGCATCTTTTCCTTCCACCGTCGGCGTCCCTGCGTCTCCCCGCTCCCCTCTTTCCACGAACACACGACGCACGCCCCGCCCCTTCGTCCCCCGCGCAAACGCTGAGCCCAACCGCCGGGCCACGTCCCGCCCCACGTCCAACGGCCGACGCAGGCCCCTCTTCAGCCAATCGGTGCCCAAGCGCCCACAAGTCCCTCCTTTTATGCAAATAACTTACTCCTGCCTCTCGCCCCGCCTTTTTTCTTTTTTTAATCGCAGCCCTGAAGTAATGAGGGCTAGAGTAGAACGCGCTCCTCCCTTTATGCAAATCAAGAGGCGTGCCTAGCGCGGAAGGAGGCGGGCGAGGGGGGGCGCTCCCGGGGGTGGCGGTTGCCCGGATGGGCCGTTAGTCGGAGCCCTGCCGCGGAGGGAGCGAGGGAGACGGAGGAGCCGTACCCGGCGCCATCCGCCGCCATCCGCCCCCGCCCCACCGCCATCCCACCCCGGGGAGCCCCTGGGCTCCGGTCCCGGATCCCCGCGCACCCGGCCAGGTGAGTCTGGGCGAGCGGAGTGCTTACGCCCTTTTCCAGCGCGGGAGCGGCGGGGGCGGCGGCGGCGGCGGCGGCGGCGGGCCCTGAGCGGGGGAGGGGGAGGACAGGCTGCCATTAGCCGCCGCCATTTTGTCCTCCTGCAGCCGGGACCTGCCTTGCCCCTCCCCCTCCGATACCACCTCCGTGGGGCCGGCACTTGGGCCCCTCGCTCGGGGCTGTAGCCGGCCCCTGCACCCCGCTTCCTGACTTAGTGCGGCGACCCCCTCTCCCGGACCGGTCGCTCCCACCCTCCGCCGCGGCTGCCCCCCGCCGGTCCCCTCGGCCGCTCCGGTGGGCCACGCCCGGCCGTCCTCGGGGAGCGCCGCCGCCGGCGCTGGGCCCCTTCGCGACGCCCTCTTCGCGCCGTCACTCCCCCAGCTGCTCCGCTTGCTCCGCGGTCTGTGCTCCTCGCTGCCCGGCCCGTCTTCACCGCCCTGGTCTCCACATTGTCCCCTTCACTTGGCCTGCATCCTTCCCTGCCATTCTGCTTACGTGTATATTGTTTCCCACCTGCTTTCACTTCGTTCTTTTATTCTAGCCTTGGTCTCTTCACGATTCTATGTCCCCCTTTCCTCCATATATTTATTTCAAAGAGTGGCTTCCTTAACACCTGCAGAGCAGGCTCCATCCTCCCCTCTAAGCGGTCCTGAAGTTCTCCCCATCCAGCTTCCCTCCCGACCCCGCCTGGATGTCCCACCTCCATCGCTTCCCCTTCCGTCACCCGGTGGAAATGAAGGCCTGCTTGCCCCGCAGCGACCGGCTGCTTGGGGAGCAGGCTGCTAGGGAGAGAAATGGCTGCTGTCTTGCTGAGGGAGGAGGGTGAAGTGAGCTCTGGCCTTGGCCTCGTGGTCACAGGGTGTTCTGGAAGTGGCTCCCTAAGGCTTTGTTTTTCTCACGTCCTCATGGGTAAGCCAGGACGGCCAGCAGGGCCCCTGCAGACTGGGATGGGGGCTAGGGCAGAAAATGATGGGGTCTCCTAACTGCTTGGGGTTCTGCACCTTTGTAGTATGTGGAACCCCAATTCCTTGAGGAATTCTCTGGCACCAGCCCTCAGTCTGGCAGAGCAAGCTCATAAAGTCCTTAGACTCCCCCAGGTGGGGGTGAGGTGCTGGGGATGAACCTGGGCCACAGTTGGGGTGTTAGTGAGTTGGGGATCTAAAAGCTCTGTTCCTTGCATGATGGAGCTGTACACCTCTGGTTTTCTCTGGGCTTGGACTTGCCCTGTTTTACTTCAGGTCTTAGTATTATTTTGGTGAAGACATTGCTCGTGGGGATAATGAAGAGGTTGGTACCCTTTATAGACTGGCACAGAAGGGAGAGGAGTTGTACTAGGTTTTTACTTGGATTTTCTTGGCAGGAGGTGAGAGGAACATGCTAGTTGGGCTCTACGGTTGCCTTAAAGGGCTTGGGGAGTTTGAATAGGCTGAAGGAAGAGACACCAGAGGCCATATTGGGCTCCAAGGGATCGTCTGCCTTCCATTGAAGTCTAAAGGGAGCAGAAAATGAAACACTTGATGTTTGGCCCACAGGCTCCGGCACGTTTTGGGGGAGGTGCCTGTAGGACCCATCGTACTCAATGAGCTTCCAGCGCAATGTCCGATCGCTCGGGGCCGACTGCCAAGGGGAAGGATGGAAAGAAGTATTCCTCGCTCAACCTGTTTGATACGTATAAGGGCAAGTCCTTAGAGATCCAGAAACCCGCTGGTGAGGGTCCTGCAAAAATTCTCATTATTGGAGGCTGGGCATGAATGGGGCATGCATTTAGAGCACTTCGAAGGGAAGTGGCTACCATACCATTTGCCAGAAAACTAGAGAGCACTAGAGACTACCCACTTCATCTTGGAGTCCATAGAGGACATTGGGCTTTGAGTAAACACCAATTACCCTCCTACAAAGGCGTGTCTGTGGTTCCCTGTCTTTGGACACGTAAGAATTGGAGGCAAAGAAATGTGGACTTGGAGAAGTCTGGAGCCAGCTTGCTCCCTGCAGGCTCAAGATCAACCATCCCACACAGAAGCCTTGCTGTAATGCCTCTGGCCTTCCCGTAGGATTTCGGAGATGGCTGAGGGCAAAGGAAGGGGTGGTTTCCAAGGGAGTTTGGCGGTGAGGCATGAAGGGTGTCTCAGTGCTACGTAGAGTAGGACACCGTCAGATTTCCCACGTGAAGCGTTCTTCACCCTCTCTCCTTTTCTCCAGTTGCCCCTCGCCATGGCCTGCAGAGTCTTGGGAAAGTTGCCATTGCCCGGCGTATGCCACCCCCAGCCAATCTACCGAGCCTGAAAGCCGAGAATAAAGGCAATGACCCCAATGTCTCACTAGTGCCGAAAGACGGAACAGGATGGGCAAGCAAACAGGAGCAGTCCGACCCCAAGAGGTAGAGAGAGGCTTGGGAGACCAGAGTGATAAGTATTTTACGTTGAACTGCGGGATGAACGGGGCTTGGTGTAGCCCAGCCACATGGCCAGAGTCAGAGGGAAGCCCTCCTGCCTGTCCCCAGAACTCCTGTCTGATGCCTGAGGAACGGGAGACCGTTAGCGTTCTGTCGGAGGGAAGCGGCGTGAAGGCAGGGTGACATCTGCCAGTGTTTTGTCCTCATGTGTAACAGCAGGCAGCTTGCGTTCCGTCCTGTCCTCCAGCTGGCAGTAAGGAAGGTGCTTCAGGCTCTGGGTAACCTTCCCACCTTCCCTCCCCAGTTCCGATGCGTCAACCGCTCAGCCGCCGGAATCGCAGCCACTGCCGGCTTCGCAGACGCCTGCCTCGAACCAGCCGAAACGACCCCCAGCAGCCCCCGAGGTATCGGAAGAACGGGGTCCCTGAAGGAGGAGCGAGACTGGCTTGTAGCTCCCCACCTACGTCACCGTTTGTTTTCTCTGCTTCGCAGAGCGCTCCTTCGGTTCCAAGCGGGGTAAAGTCCTGGGCCCAGACCAGCGTCACCCATGGAGCACACGGAGATGGTGAGTGCGGGCTGGCGGGGAGCTGGCTCTGGGCACGGGTAAGCAGGAGCCTGGACTGCACCTCCCGTGCAGTGTCCTCCTGTTTGGCTCCATTTGGGGCCCTCTGGCAGCAGTTGTGTCCGTCTTGTGTGAGGATGAGGCGGGCATCCAAGAACTGGCCGTGTTTCTTAGGGAGCAGGCACCTAATGCATGGGGCTGGGCTGGAAGGCGGGAACCCGGGGATCGGGGACCTATCAGAACTTCCTCTCACCTGTGCATCCTGTTCTGCTTCCCACCTCCACAGGTGGAAGGGCATCAAGCCTACTGTCACGATTCTCTCGAGAGGAATTTCCGACCCTGCAGGCGGCTGGCGACCAGGACAAGGCTGCCAAGGAAAGGGAGTCTGCCGAACAGTCGTCTGGGCCCGGACCAAGCCTCCGCCCCCAGAGTGCGTGGCTGCCATGGGGGGGCGGGGGGTACGCGAGGGCTTCCCTTTGAGCTAGGGTGTTACCTTATTCTATCTCGGAGCTGTTGTGTCCCGTCATTTTCAGCCCTGTTCGCTCTGCCTTTTCCAAAACACAGATTCCACAACCTGGAGGGACGGCGGTGGGCGTGGCCCTGATGAGCTGGAGGGCCTGGACTCCAAACTTCATCACGGCCATGATCCCCGGGGGGCACTGCCACCTTCCGGCCCACCCCAGTTCCCTCCCTACCGAGGAATGATGCCGCCCTTCGTGAGTCCGGATCTCGTTTGGAGGGGTTGCTCTGGAAGATAGGAGTTAGGACTTACCTTTGGAGGGCAGCTGGAATGTAGGGGGTGTGGCGTGGAGTGGGAATGGGGAGAGGGACGACAGTAGGTTTAGGGAGCTCGCAGCTCTTTGACCATCCCTCTGAGCAGCTGCTTTTGGGCCCTTTTGCAGATGTACCCCCCGTATCTCCCATTCCCTCCACCCTATGGACCCCAGGGGCCTTACCGATACCCCACCCCTGATGGGCCCAGGTGAGTAATGCAGGGCAGGCTGGGTTTGCGATTGGGGATGGGGAGCCCATCGGTGGAGGGATGATTTTCTAGCCAGGAGGCTGTCTTGTATGTGGGCATACACCGTGCTGCCTTTTACCTTCTCTCCCATGTGCCCTTTCGCACAGCCGTTTTCCCCGAGTGGTAGGCCCCCGGGGCTCAGGGCCGCCAATGCGCCTCATGGAGCCCATGGGTCGGCCCTCCATTCTTAAAGAGGATAACCTCAAAGAGTTTGACCAGCTGGACCAGGAGAACGACGATGGTTGGGCAGGCAAGTTAATGTGTGTGTGTTAATCCTCACCCAAGGATATTTTTTCCCATTGTTTTTCAGAGAGGGGAAGGGAGAGAGGGAAGGAGGGGTGGAAAGAAGAGATATTGACTGGTTGCCTCCCCCACTCACCCAACTGGGGATGGGGAGTAAACCTGCACCTGGGGTATGTGCCTTTGGGAATCGAACCCGGAACCCTTCAGTGTGCAGGCCAACACACTGACCATTATCACACTGGCCAGGGCTAGGTAAATGAATATTACGGATCAAGCATTTTAGTCTTAAAAAGCAAGATCTGATAAGGAAAAAGTACACTGGTGGGTAGGTGAGCTACGTGCAGGAAAGCAAAGACTGAGAATGATGACTTGGGTGGGCCCAGGCTTCAGAGGAAGGTGGCATTGGCGGTACAAGTCTTCCTTCGTGTGGCCCCAGACACTGCTCTCCCAGAAGTCCCTGAGGTTTGGAGCAGAGGGTGGGCTAATGCTCTCCCACCCCCAGGGGCTCACGAGGAGGTTGACTACACCGAAAAGCTCAAGTTCAGTGATGAGGAGGATGGACGAGACTCCGATGAGGAGGGAGCTGAGGGCCAGTGAGTTAAGGCCCTCTGGGGAGGGAGGGGAGGGGAGGGGAGGAGCGGGGCTGGGCTGGGCTCAGTTTTCCTCATGCTAGGACACCCGTAAAGGAGCTGGGTTGCAGCTGATTTTAAATCCACTGCTGTTCTGTTCACAGCAAGGAGTCCCAGGCAGCTGCTGGGGAGGAACGGCCCCCAGAAGCAAATGGCAGGAAGGGCAACTCGGCTGGCAGTGAGCCGCCCCCACCCAAGACGGCCTGGGCAGAGGCCTCCCGGCCTCCGGAGACGGAGACGGAGGCGGGGCCTCCTGCCCCGAAGCCGCCCCCGCCCCCGCTGCACCGGGGCCCCGCTGGGAACTGGGGCCCCCCCGGCGATTACCCAGTGAGTGTCTACAGGGCGAGTTGGAGAGGGTCCGTTGTGGCTGATGGTGTCAGCTGCGTGACTGAGGAGCAGTATCTGAGGAAGCCGGAGGGCGGGTCACAACGGGCTGCAGGAGGTGGAGAGTTTGGGAGAATCTCTGGCGAGATTTGGAGCGTCCCTGTGTTAGGGGAGTCTGGGGGCTAGAGAGCAAGAACCAGGAGGCCTGGGTGTGTGTGGGCCTCTGAAAGGAGAAAAGAAACAAAAAGACTAGGATGGTGAGTTTGTCCCTTCTCAGAGGACAGCACCCCAAGGCCTGGTTCTGCACCTGCAGCTCTAGACAGTAGTCAGTGTGCAGAAGAGTCAAAGAAACAGCGACTGACCCCGCTGGCCCGCGGGGTCTGCCCGTTGACAGGATCGTGGGGGCCCGCCCTGCAAGCCCCCAGCGCCTGAGGATGAGGATGAGGCGTGGCGGCAGCGGCGGAAGCAGTCCTCGTCCGAGATCTCCCTGGCCGTGGAGCGCGCCCGGCGGCGCCGGGAGGAGGAGGAGCGCCGCATGCAGGAGGAGCGCCGGGCGGCCTGCGCCGAGAAGCTCAAGCGGCTCGACGAGAAGTTCGGGGCGCCCGACAAGCGGCTCAAAGCAGAGCCTGCTGCCCCGCCTGCTGCCCCTCCTGCCCCGGCGCCACCACCTGCTGCCCCCAAAGAGCTCCCCTCACCTCCTCCACCAGCACCAGCCCCACCACCAGAAAAAGAACGGGAAGAGCCGGCCCAGGCTCCTGCCCAGGCCACCCCCACTCCAGGTGCGGCTGCACCTCCTGTCCTGGTGAGTGGTGGTGGCAGCACCAGTAGCACCAGCAGTGGCAGCTCCGAAGCCAGCCCAGGTATGGAGATGGGACAGGTGCTACCAGGTGGCAGGTCTCCTCTGCTTGGGCCAAGCCGCGTGGGGAGGAAGCGAAATAGGAGGCAGCTGTGGGCTTATTGGACGGGCTGAGTGAGGGGCAGGTTTTGCTACCTGAAGTCCTTAACAGGAAACCAAAACCACTCTGTGTAGCCTCCTGTGAGCGGGGCTCTTCCGCAGTAGTGTGTGGGTTTCACGGGCAGGAACCCCAGACCATTGGCTCAGGGGAGGTCATGTACACGAGGAGGACTGGCCTCTAGAGAGGGAAGGACTAGAGGGAGCTGCAGTGGTGGGGTGTTCGTGGAATGGCTGTGATGGGCTAGGCCTCTCTGATAAGTGTCTTTCATCAATGCAGTGGAACCCCAACTGCCCTCCAAGGAGGGTCCTGAACCACCAGAAGAGGTTCCTTCTCCTGCCACCCCTCCAGCCCCGAAGGTGGAACCCAAGGGTGATGGGGTTGGGCCCACCCGGCAGCCCCCTAGTCAGGGCTTGGGCTACCCCAAATATCAGAAGTCGTTACCTCCTCGTTTCCAGCGGCAACAGCAGGTGAGATCAAGTTACTCCCTCTCTAAGGGCTGCCTTTTTGTCTGGCTCCAACATCTGCACCCCTTTTAGTTCCCTCTGGGCCCCTCTGCAGTTCTGGCCCAGGCTTGTGGCCGTGTTTTGTGCCCGCTCCTTTCCATCTGGCGGGAGCCTGATGCCTCGTGTCCTCTGCAGGAGCAGCTCCTGAAGCAGCAACAGCAGCAGTGGCAGCAGCACCAGCAGGGCTCCGCCCCCCCTGCCGCGGTGCCCCCCTCACCACCACAGCCTGTGACCGTAGGGGCTGTGCCAGCTCCACAGGCTCCCCCTCCCAAGGCCCTGTACCCAGGGGCTCTGGGTCGCCCCCCACCCATGCCTCCGATGAACTTTGACCCCCGCTGGATGATGATTCCTCCTTACGTGGACCCCCGGCTCCTCCAAGGCCGGCCCCCCCTGGACTTCTACCCGCCCGGCGTGCACCCCTCCGGTAAGGCCTTCAGCCCGGGATGCGGGCGCACCTTGCTGGGGCTAAAGCCCCCAGGGAAGAGGGCGGGCGCGGTCTTCGCATGCCGAGGGAGCTCCGGGCAGGGACGACTTGGGGAGGTGGGAACGGTGGTCTTGCCTTGGCCAGGATTCACTGGGAAGCGGAGTGGGTGCCCCGGCTTCAGGAGAGCAGGCCCGGCCCGCCCGCTTCCTGGGAGTGGGCAGTCGAGTGGCTGGTGTTGGCGGGCGGTGCCCTCGGGCTGGAGAGCCTGTCACCTGAGAAAGGGGGTCGTTGCCTCAGGCCTCGTTCCCCGGGAGCGCTCAGACAGCGGAGGCTCCAGCTCCGAGCCATTCGAGCGCCACGCGGGCCCCCTCGTACGGGATCGGGGCACCCCGCCGGGGGACGCAAAGTTGGCCTGGGTAGGAGATGTCTTCACCACCACACCCACTGACCCTCGCCCGCTCACCTCACCACTGCGACAGGCCGTCGAGGAGGACGACAAGGGGATGAGGTGAGTGAGCAGTGAGGGTCCGGGGCGTTCCTGGCGGGAGGGAAGGTGCCGGTTATTGGTGAGGTGTCTGAGTTGTGCTTCCTCACCCCGTTTCAGTTGTCCGCATCCTGAGGTGTTCTTTTCTGTCTCCCTCTTCAGGAGTGAAACCCCTCCCGTGCCTCCCCCCCCACCCTATCTGGCCAGTTACCCCGGCTTTCCCGAGAACGGCGCCCCTGGGCCCGCCCTCCCTCGCTTCCCTCCGGAGGAGCTGCCGGCCCCGGGGCCCCGCCCGCTGCCCTGGCCCCCCGGCAGTGAGGAGGCAGCCAAGACACAGGCTTCCCCGCCCAAGAAGGAGGCCCCCAAGGAGGAGCCGCCACAGCCCACAGGGCCGGAAGCCAGCCGGAAGCCGCCCCGGGGGGTGGGAGGCCAGGGCCCCCCGCCAGCCCGCAGAGAGAGCCGCACCGAGACCCGCTGGGGCCCGCGCCCCGGCAGCAGCAGGCGCGGGGGCCCTCCAGAGGAGCCCGGGGCCCCGCCCCGCCGCGCCGGGCCCATCAAGAAGCCCCCGCCTCCTGCAAAGGCCCAGGAGCTGCCTCCCAAGCCCCCCGAACGGGGGGATGAAGCCCTCACGGTCCCAAAGCCAGACCCACTCAAGACAGCAAAGGGGAAGGTGGGGGGCCCCAAGGAGACTCCACCTGGCGGGCCCCTTTCCCCGGCCCCGAGGCTTCGGAGGGACTACTCCTACGAAAGAGTGGGGCCTGCCTCCTGCCGTGGCCGCGGGCGAGGCGAGTATTTTGCCAGAGGGAGAGGGTTCCGGGGGACATACGGGGGGCGAGGACGCGGCGGCCGAAGCCGAGAGTTCCGCAGTTACCGCGAGTTCCGTGGCGATGACGGGCGTGCAGGGGGGGCAGGGGGACCCGGCCACCCCCCTGCGCCCCGGGGCCGCACCGCCAGCGAGACGCGGAGTGAGGGCTCGGAGTACGAAGAGATCCCCAAGCGGCGCCGGCAGCGGGGCTCCGAGACGGGCAGCGAGACCCACGAGAGTGACCTGGCCCCTTCGGACAAGGAGGCCCCCCCGCCCAAGGACGGTGTCCTCGCCCCCGCGCCTCCGGCTCCCCCGCCCGCAGGAGCGCCTCCTTCGCCGGCCCCAGCCCGCTTCCCTGCTGCCCGCGGGGGGCGCGTCTTCACCCCCAGAGGGGTGCCCTCCCGCCGGGGCCGGGGCGGGGGCCGGCCCCCTCCGCCCGTTTGCCCGAGCTGGGCCCCTCCGGCCAAGTCTCTGGCCCCCAAGAAGCCGCCAGCTGGTCCCCTGCCGAGTAAGGAGCCGCCGAAAGAGAAGCTGATGGCGGGGCCCCTGTCCCCCATGGCCCGCGCCGGCCCCGGCCTGGGCCTGGCCGGGGAGGACGGGGAGCGGCCCCGGAGGCGGCGGCACGGGCGGGCTCAGCAGCAGGACAAGCCGCCCCGCTTCCGCAGGCTGAAGCAGGAGCGGGAGAGCGCCCGGGGCGCCGAGGGCCGGCGCGCGTCCCCCGCCCGCCCGCCCGCCACGCCGGCGCCCGAGGAGGCCCCCGCCCCCGCGTCCGCCCCCCCGCCACCGCGCCGGGCAGCTGCCAAGTCTCCTGACCTGTCGAACCAGAACTCGGACCAGGCCAACGAGGAGTGGGAGACTGCCTCCGAGAGCAGCGACTTTGCCAGTGAGCGCCGGGGGGACAAGGAGGCTCCTCCGTCAGCACTGCTGACCCCCAAGATTGCGGGGACTCCTGGGGGCGGGGCCGGCGGGGCCGGGCCAGGCATTACCGCCATGTCGCGGGCAGATCTGAGCCAGAGAGCCAAGGACCTGAGCAAGCGGAGCTTCTCGAGTCAGCGGCCAGGCATGGAGAGGCAGAACCGGCGCCCCGGCCCCAGCAGCAAGGCCGGCGCCGGGGGCGGCGCCGGGGGAGGGCCCGGAGGCAGGGCCGGCCCAGGGCGCGGGGACAAGAGGAGCTGGCCCTCTCCCAAGAACCGGAGGTGGGTAACAGGCTCAGCTGTCCTTAAGCTTAAGGACTGGAGCGGGGAGGCCTGAGGGTGGTGAGGGGCTGCGGCAGAGTTCGGAGACCGGGGCAGTTAGAGGGGCACCAGGAGGTCCTCTGCCTGAAGGCGCGGGCTGCAGTGGGAAGTCAGGACCACCACCCAGAAGTGCCGGGAAACACTGCATTGCACAGGGAAGAGGGAGGCTGACGGTACTGGAGGGGGAGGGTCACAGTTTGGGGAATACTGGAGCTGGTCTGTGTTTTTTCAGCCGCCCTCCAGAGGAGCGCCCCGCAGGCCTCCCTCTGCCTCCCCCGCCCCCGAGCAGTTCTGCTGTCTTCCGCCTGGACCAGGTGATCCACAGCAACCCTGCTGGCATCCAACAGGCCCTGGCCCAGCTCAGCAGCCGCCAGGGGAGTGCAGCTGCACCAGGGGGGCACCCAAGGCCCAAGCCTGGGCCTCCCCTCACTCCTCAAGGCCCGTCCCCTCGGCCCCCAACCCTCTATGACCCTCAGAGGGCCAGCAACAACAGCATTGGCATCGGTTCAGGTAAGCTGGAGGTGCTACAGGTGGCACTGTACATCCCCAGAGGCAGGCGTTGAAGGGGGAAGGGTCTGGCTTGGGGTCCCTGGTGCTGGTGTGTACACTGAGGCGCTGGGAGGGTTGGATGTGGGGTGAGGAGGAAGGAGGGTCAGTGACAGGGAGGCTGGTGCTGACAATTTCCCCTTCTCCCCAGACCTCCACTTCGAGGAGCCAGGGCCGATGGTGAGGGGGGTGGGCGGGACTCCCCAGGATGCTGCCGGGGTTAATTCTTTCCCCCCCAAACGGCGGGAGCGGCCTCCCAGAAAACCGGAGCTGCTGCAGGAGGTGAGGGATGGGGACTGAGATTGTGCGTCCCTGCCCGCTCCCAGGGCTCTTTCATTTCCTTCATCCTTCCCTGTCCTCACCCCGAGTCGCCAGCTTCGGTCACTGCATGCCTCTTCCGTGTCCCTGTCCCTCCTTACCACACTGTCCCAGGCTTTGCATTCCCCAGTTCCCGGCTCATTCATGTTTTGCCTCTGGCCTTTCTCACCCTTAGGAATCTTTGCCGCCTTCTCATAGCTCTGGATTCTTGGGCCCCAAGCCTGAGGGCCCAGGCCCTCACGGAGCGTCTAGAGATGCAGAGACAGAGGCCCTGACCCCTCACATCTGGAATCGTTTACATTCTGGTGAGTAAAACAACTGAGCGGCAGGAAGGGCCGTGAGAGCCAGACGGGCCGCAGCAGTTGACACAGCCTCGTCTTGGTGCCTTTCCCAGCCTCTAGTCGGAAGAGTTACCGGCCTGGCCCCGTGGAGCCCTGGATGGAGCCCCTGAGTCCCTTTGAGGACGTGGCCGCCACGGAGGTGAGTGGGGCCGGGAGGGGAGTGTCTGAGGGGGTTTCTCCAGCGCTGGCCATCCGTCCCCGCTGCTCCGGGCCGGGTCTGAGTTGTTCCCTCACATCATTTCTCCTTTCTTCAGAGAGGGAGAGAGAGTGAATGAGTGTGCATGTACACCAGTGTGTGCAGTGTGTGTGTGTGTGTACACCAGTCAGGGATTGGGGTGCTTCCTGCCCTCCCTAACTAACCCTTCTCCACTCCTCTCAGATGAGTCAGTCTGACAGTGGGGTGGACCTGAGTGGGGATTCTCAGGTATCGTCAGGTCCCTGCAGCCAGCGAAGTTCCCCTGATGGAGGACTCAAGGGGGCAGCAGAGGGGCCCCCCAAGCGGCCTGGAGGCCCCTCACCCCTGAATGCTGTTCCTGGTGAGGGTCCACCTGCCTCTGAACCCTCTGAACCTCCTAGGAGACGGCCACATGCCCCCCCTGATGGGGACAGAAAGGTAAAAGGTCAAAAATGGCTACAAGGAATGTTCTGGGACTCCGGCTGCGGCTGTCTCCCCTTCTGTGTGTCCTGGGGATTCCCTTATTTGGGCTTCAGTTTTCTTCCCCCAACCCCACACTACTGTGCTTCCCAACCAGGAGCTGCCCCGGGAGCAGCCTCTGCCCCCTGGTCCCATCGGCACAGAACGACTGCAGCGCGCGGACCGCGGCCCGGAGCCCGGCTCCCTGCGGCCATCCTGCCGGCCCGGTCCCCCGGGCCAGTTCGGCACCAGTGACAAGGTCTGCATGGGCCAGACCTGGGGACCTGGGGCTGAGTGGAGAGAAGGGAAGGGCTGGTGGTGGGACATGGGACACCTGAATCGACCGTGAGACAACCTTCCGTGCCTCGTGATCTCAGGACTCAGACTTGCGCCTAGTGGTGGGAGACAGTTTAAAAGCAGAGAAGGAGCTCACGGCATCCGTCACTGAGGTGCGTGGGGAGAGTTGGGTGGCAAGGTCTGTTTCCGGAAAAGATGACCCAGAGAGCCCTCGTGACTCGTCTGCTCCTCCCCAGGCCATTCCCATATCCCGAGACTGGGAGCTGCTCCCTAGTGCTGCTGCCTCCGCTGAGCCGCCACCACAGCCCAGGAGCCTGGCGCCCGGGCACTGTGGCCCAGAGCCCAGCCCCGCAGGCCAGCGCTTGTACCCCGAGATCTTCTACGGCAGCCCCGGGCCTGCCGGCTCCCAGGTAGGCCCGCCTTCCTGTCCCGCAGCCCCGTTCCGCCTTCCCAGACTGCACAGTTGTAAACTTTTTTTGTTTCATTTCTCTCCTTTTACTTAGGTGGTGGGATGGGTGAGCTTTTCTTGACCAGAGAAAATGGAGTTAGTCCAGCTTTGCTTTTCTGTAGGTTTCAGGGGGAGCCATAGACTCTCAGTTACATCCCAACAATGGGGGCTTCCGCTCTGGGACGCCAGTGCACCCTTACCGGTAAGACCAGGTGCCTGTGGTGTCAGAAGGAAATGGAGCCATGTTTCCGGGAGAGGGAGGCGGGACATTCCAGTACTGAAGGCTGATGGGCTTGAGGAGGTGCTCAGCCTAAAGGAGTAACTGATTCTGGCTCCCTGACCCCTTTCTTCCCTGTTGCCCTGATGCCTTTGCAGGTCACAGCCCCTGTACCTGCCCCCGGGCCCGGCACCCCCCTCAGCACTGCTCTCAGGCGTGGCTGTCAAGGGCCAGTTCCTGGATTTCTCAGCGCTGCAAGCAGCCGAGCTGGGGAAGTTGCCGGCTGGAGTTCTCTACCCGCCACCTTCCTTCCTCTACTCTCCAGCCTTCTGCCCCAGCCCTCTGCCTGACCCGCCCCTGCTTCAGGTGAGAGGTGGGCAGGGGCTGGGCCTAGGGAGGTGTGCAGGGGCTGGGCCTAGGGAGCTGGGGGTGCAGGAGAGTGCTTTGGGGAGTTGACATACTTCTTCCCATTGTCCAACAGGTGCGCCAGGATCTGCCATCCCCCCCAGATTTTTACTCTACTCCTCTGCAGCCTGGTGGCCAGAGTGGCTTCCTCCCCTCGGGGGCTGCCCAGCAGGTACTTTTTATCTGTCTCCTTCCCCTTCGGTCTCTCTGTCCAGCCTCTGGCTTTTTTAAATGGTTTTGACTCTAGCTCAGGTTTTATGACATTTCTTTCTGCCCCCAACACAGACCCATATTTCTTGTTACAGATGCTTCTACCCATGATGGACTCCCAGCTGCCTGTGGTGAACTTCGGCTCCCTGCCACCAGTGCCGCCTCCTGCCCCACCCCCCCTTTCTCTGTTACCTGTGGGCCCTGCTCTGCAGCCCCCCAGTTTGGCTGTGCGGCCCCCACCTGCTCCTCGGGTGCTGCCTTCGCCTGCCAGGCCCTTCCCCCCTGGCTTGGGGCGAGCAGAGGTAAGGTACAGGAGCTGTAGTGCTAGGCACTCCACGAGTTAGGGGTGGGCGTCGTGATCGGGAGATGAATGGGTTGAGACAGGAGGCTTATGAGGTGTTTTTTTCCTTCAGCTTCACCCAGTAGAACTAAAGCCGTTCCAGGACTATCGGAAACTGAGCAGCAGCCTTGGGGGGCCGGGATCATCCTGTGCTCTTCCAGCTGGAAGGCAAGCGAAGCGACTGGGAATACGGACTGCCCAGCCCCAAGGCCTGCAGCTCTCCTAAACACTGTTCCTCCTCTAGGTCTTTCTCTGGCCTCAGTTCCCGTCTCAAAGCCACACCCTCCACCTATAGCGGTGTCTTCCGCACCCAGCACATTGACCTTCACCAGCAGGTGAGGGAGAAGCCCCAGCCCCCACACCCCCAAGTCTGAATTCTCGTGGGACCACCCAAAGCTGCCCTTGTGTTCCTGACCTCCCGGCATGAATGGAGCCCCCCTTCCTCTTTCACACGTGCCTTCCCCCCAGGCCTCCCCGCCTGACGCCCTACGCTGGATGCCGAAGCCTTGGGAGCGGCCAGGGCCGCCTTCCCGACGGGCAGAAGAGCCTGGGGCCCGAGGAGACAAGGAGCCTAGGTTGCCCCCACCCCGCTGAGGGAGTTCCTCTTGCCCGTCCCCCAGGCCTTGTATATAGATTATAAATATATAAGGGGAAAGGGGTGGGTGGGAGGGGTTGTGGGGCTGGGGCCTCGCTTCCCCTCCTCCCTGCTCCCCTGGTCCCCTCTCCCTGGGGCCATTTGTTAAAAAAATAATAATAATAAAAGAATTTAAAAAATATTTCCAAAATGGCTTGGGGCAGGTTGGTTGCTTGTGATCTCGCGTGTCCTACACAGCACAGTGCCTGCCAAGCAGTCTGTAGAGTGGGTTCAGCCAGGGCACTACTTGTCACTTCACTTCAGTGACTTTCCTAAGATTCCCAACTTCATCCTTTCACGGTTATCTTCAAGTTTCGGAGCCCGGTTCTGCCAGCTGGGCTGGTCCCACAGTGCTTCCCCTCGCGTATCTGGGGCCTTGGTGGGGCATTTGGACTTGTCATGTGACTCCTCCAGCCAGATGTTCTAGGAGTCCTCTGATCTCTGAGGCCCATGAGCCAGTGTCCCAGACCCCAGTGGCCTATGCAAAGTTGTCTGCCATTTCCTCTTGGCCTAGCACCAAGCTGAAGCGGGGAGAGGACAGCACCAGCATCTCAAAGGCAGAAACAGGATTCGCAGCCGGTCTGTCACTTGGCTCCCATCTACATACAGTGCCTCTGGAGCTGTCCTGGGCTCCTTGCTCTGGGTAGGCGAGCTCTAGTGCTGGCCAGTCTTGGTTGAGCCGTCCGGCTCCTGCTGCTTGGGAAATAGGTTTTTACTAGACAGTTTCAAGGTCCTTTCCTAGCATACACCTGGAATAGGTTTCTTCCATCTCAACTCAGGTATTTACATACAAAAGTATTTTGCATAAAACATTGAAAACAGGCCTGTACGTACTTCAGAGATTTAAGGGGCCCAGACTATGTAATGAACACAATTTACAGACAAAGGGCCAGGAAAATCTGACTTTTATTTCTTAAATACTGTGAAGGAAGGGGGGGGAAATGGTCCCCTGATGAGGGAGGGGCAGAGAGCTAGGGGTCCTCAGCAAAGGCCCGGTGGGCACTAGGGAAGCGCTGGGGGTTATAGTTGGGATCTTCCTGCAGTCGCTTCTGTATGTCAGCCCGGAGCTAGAAAGAGAACAAGCAGGTTGGAGGCACTGGCCAAGGCCCTGGGATCCCAACAAACACGCAAGGCCATCCCTCAAGAGCGGACACTTCCCCACCAGCTAGTGTCAGCAGCCCAGTAAGGCATCACTGAGCCTTCCCAGATGCCACTAGGGAGAAAGACCTTAAAAACGTGGTAGCCGCAGACTGACCAGTTCATCTCTGAAGGGATGTGGGGAAGAGGGACCCTAGCCCAACCCCTCCCACTAGACCATCCCTATTCTGCTTCAAGGTGGGGGCACCTGCTGCCTGTAGCTCTCCTGAACCTCTGGTGCCTCCAGGTCCCGGCTCAGGCTCTCAGGGCTCGTCAGGGGCCGAGCTCCGGCTGCCTTAGCTGCCCGGCTCACGGCCTCTGAGAGAAGCAGCTGGGGGCCCTCACCCTGCATCGTCTGGGGCGGGGTTGGGAGGGAAAAGAGGATCAGCGTCAGATCCAGTGCCACCACCCAGCTCACCCTTTCCATTGAGTCCAATATCCACACCGGGGGAGAGAGGGGAAATAGTCCCACGTGTTTTAACAGCAGAAGTGCTGACAATATTGTTTGGCTCTGGCCAAAAACAGCATTTGAATGTGTTGGACTCGCTCTTCAAAGTGCTCTGGTCCATAAGAGGAAACCCACGGTAAGCCAGGGATTAGGGAGCTTCGGGTGATGGGGCTACTGGCAAAAAGACCGGTGGGTCAGCCATGAGCAAGTCTTGAGTCCCACAAAGGTTTCCTCGTCAATTAAATGAGGGGGCTAAACTAGAACTCCCTCCTTCCAGCTCAGTCTGATTCTAAGCATGACGGGAATTTGGATCAAGAGGGATCCTCAGGGAAGAGGCAAACCCACCTTGCGTCTCTTGGCAGGCATACCACTGAGGTAGGCATCACTCAGGGGAGGCTGGGGTTTCACCTTCCGCTGGCTCTGAATGTCCTGCTGGATGATAGGCACCCACTCCTGGGGAAGAGAAAGATTAGGAAGCCACTGCCACAACTTCCAGCTGCCTCTGCCCCGATCACCTGACACTCACTGGGGGGACTGCAGCTGCCCAAGGTTCTGTCTCAGCTGAAGCTCCATCCTGTTCCTCTTGGGAGCCCCCTTCAGGGGCAGGAGGTGGGCCTCGGGACATAGCCTCTTCTGCTGTTGTTCCCGGGGCTGGGGAGGCATTCTCCCGCTGCAGGTCAGACAGCAGGAGGAGTCAACCCCCAGACCCTCCACCCCGTCCCTCCACTCAGTCATCTGGTCCCTCAACCTCTCTCTGGTACCTGAGGCTCAGGGGAAGTTCTCTCTGATCCCTGAACTTCCATTGGCTCCTCAGAAAGTGGCTGTGAAATTGGACAGAGGAGAACACAGAAAACCCTCTTAAGTCTCTCCAGCTCTCTGCAGTCCCCGGTCCCACAGCCAACACCAGGGCCTTTACCTGTGGGGGGTCACCAATCCTGCGGACGTATCTGAGAATGGCGTCTGGGCCCACAGGCATGTGCTCCAGCACCACCTGAAGCCTCAGTCCCATCATAGTGGTCAGCCAGCTCACCAAGGACGGGTTCACCCCGCGAGACATGCGACGCTGAGGGGCAGAAAGCAGACTCAAACACAAAACCTCAACCAGCTTTTGAAAGGTATCGAAGGGTAAAGCAAGGCAGTTTGGATAAGAAAAAGGAAACTGCAGGATTCCAGAGAATGGAAACCTGAGGGAACAAAAGGCTGGGGGATCTGGGCGGGGTGGTGCTCACAATTCGGCCATTGATGACAGCAGCTAGCTCCATCTGCTGTCCCCCCAAGCAGTGCAGGTTCAGAGCCAGGCACTCAAAAAGGCCCTGGTTACACAGCTCCAGCAAACGGGCCCCAAATCCACTGTCTGTGGGCAAGACAAGGAGGGAGTGCTGGCTCTGCAGCCCTGACCCCACTACACCATGCTCCCCCGACCTAGCGGGCCTGACCTGTGCAGTGCAGAACGTGAGCTGCAATGCTATTGAACTGCTCCTGCAGAAATTCCAGATTCGTCCGGATGATGTCTACACCTGGCTGAACTTGCACCAAAGACTGAGAGACAAAACAGAGAACCAAAAATGAGGAACCCCAAGACACTGGGAGTCGAGGAGGCAGGAGGAATAGAAGCTATCCTATCAGACTCAAGAGAGGATGGGATAGGGAAGGGTTACTCACAAAACTCTCCCGAACATATTCTTCCAGCCCCGTGATCAATGTGTGGGTGGCCATCTATTGGGGGGATGGGAGGGAGAGACACACAGCACAAGTTTAGATTCAATTCTCAGTTCTCAAAGCACTTCCTCCTCCACCCCCAAGACCAGGACTGCTTGGGCTGGGATAGTCCCAGTTTAGGTGACAGACATTCTGAGTCAGGAATTAGGTACTGAAGGTGAGGAGCAGCAGCGCTCTGGGACCCAGGCCTTCACTTACCCGGATGTTACCAGGTGTGGGCTCCTGGCCACCCAGGTAGTGCTGGTGAAAGAAGGATCGCAACTGGGGCTGGAGCCGCTGCAGTGGCTGGAAATGCCCGTGGAGAAGCATCACCACATCCACCATAGAGAAATTCTGGCACAGAAGAGAGAGCAGGGCCCCAAAGAAACCTATGGACAGGGGCAGAATTTAGCAAAGTCTTTATCACCTGACCTACCCACCACCCCAGCCCATCCCCCTCACCCCACCTTAGCAATACCCCTCAACACAGGTCCTCTACCTTCCCCCAGCTGCCCTTTCCTAGAGACCAAGGCGGCCCCATGCTCACCAAGAGCCCCATCAGCCCCAGGCTCAAAGATGTTGCTGGACCCACTGAGGCGCTGTATGAAAGCGGCGATGCTTTCACTGCTGCCAGCCCGAGCGCCGAGGGAGCCCAGCAGGGAGCTCAGCACTCCCTGCACCACCGAGGTGAAGAACTCCGGGGACAGGCTCTCAGGACCCAGGCCTCCAGGACTCCCGGCACCACCAGAAGGGGACCCTGGTGGGGGCATGGCCTGCTGCTCTGGGGCCAGAGGTGGAGGTGGGGGGGGTGGGGGGGGCGGGGGGGCCGTCTGTGTTGCCTGACAAAAAGATATAAAGAAGGTAAGGTGAGGATGGGCATAAGGACATCAAATGGCATTAAGAGGGTACGAACCAGAGAGGTTTGGAAAATGGGGAGCTCCACTCTATTCGACTCCTTACAGCAGAACATGCATGGGCAGTACTGAGCAGCAGAGGGAGGCCGAGCAGCCGCTCTCCCGCTCTGAATGAGTTAGGTCAGAAAGCATTGACACGGCCGAAACAGGTTTGGCTCAGTGGATAGAGCATCGGCCTGCGGACTGAAAGGTCCCAGGTTCGATTCCGGTGAAGGGCATGTACCTTGGTTGCGCAGGCACATCCCCAGTAGGGGGTGTACAAGAGGCAGCTGATCGATGATTCTCTCTCATCGATGTTTCTAACTCACTATCCCTCTCTCTAAGAAATCAATAAAATAAGCCGAAACCGGTTTGGCTCAGCGGTAGAGCTTCGGTCTGCGGACTGAAAGGTCCCAGGTTCGATTCTGGTCAAGGGCATGTACGTTGGTTGCGGGCACATCCCCGGTAGGGGGTGTGCAGGAGGCAGCTGGTCGATGTTTCTCTCTCATCGACGTTTCTAGCTCTCTCTCTTCCTCTCTGTAAAAAGTCAATAAAATATATTAAAATATATATATATATTTAGCCGGAACTGGTTTGGCTCAGTGGATAGAGCGTCGGCCTGCGGACTGAAGGGTCCTGGGTTGGATTCCGGTCAAGGGCATGTACCTTGGTTGCGGGCACACCGCCAATAGGGGGTGTGCAAGAGGCAGCTGATCGATGATTCTCTCATTGATGTTTCTAACTATACCTCTCTCTTCATCTCTATAAAAAATCAATAAAAAATATATTTTAAAAAATTTTTATTTAAAAAAATAAAATAAAATATTTAAAAGAAAGCATTGACACACATGCTCCAAGCCCCGTTTCTTCATCTCCAAAATGGGGGACTCAATGGTTCCGCCGGGCTCCTTCCCAGTGGCGATATAATGGCAA